TGACCGGTGCACTCACAGTGCTCACTGGCTGAGTGCCGTGCGGCCGGTCTCAAAAAGGACACACACACACACACACACACACAGACACACACACACACAAACACACAAAAACGGGTCTCTATACTAGGTCAAGGGTGTGGACCCTTATCTGTTTTTCTGATTGTAAATTCTGGTAGCTGCTGGTTCTTTTCTTACAGTGGAGATTCTGAGAGAAGTCACCCAGAATTGGTCCGGCTCTGTCCTGTGAATGCACGCACGCATGCATATACACACGCGTGCACACACACACACACGATTACATACACCCCTGCTGCATTTGTTGCTGGTATCCGCATTTGTGGATATGTCTTGTTTATGTGGCGTGTTTATGTCTTGGCTGGAAAAGGCCTTTAGCCTAATGGGAAGGCCCTTTCTTAGCACAGTCATTAGTGATCTGTTTGGGTGCCAGTTGCCAACACAAAGCGTTTGTTTGAGCTGAGGTCTGTTCCCTTCATTACGGTGATTACGGCCTGTCAGTGAGGGGCCCTGCGCTGCAGCCACGGAATTCTCTCTGCTATTTCAGGCCAGGGCCTGGACTGACCTGATTTGCTTTTTTCATCCCAGCAGTCAAAATCGGAAACCAGAGTTTGTTGTAAGCTAGCCTGTCTCTTCCACAAATGATGTCCTTTCAACTGCAGGCAGGGCATGGGGCTAGGAGCCTGGAGTAGGTGCAGAGACTGGTCGGCCCAATGTCACCTGCAGGGAGGTCCAGGTCCAGCAGCAGAGATGAGGCTGCGCGGGCCATTTGTCTAGGGGGTCAGAGAGAAACAGTGGTGATGGGGCAGAGAGGAGGCAGCCATGGATGTGGGGTGGGGCTGCAGACATCAACTCCTGATGGGCCTGGTGGGCTGTTGCAGAGAGCCAAGCAGCCCATCAGATGTAGGCTGCCTTCGGGGGAGGGAGGTGTGTGAGAATCATTTCATTTCCTCTTTGCCTCCTCTGTAAAATCAACAGCCTAAATAAATGGCAATAGGCACGTAGGCTGTATTGGGGAGACATTAGGGAGGGC